ACAGGCTCTTTCCCCGCCCCCCGGAAGGAGGGGCTTCCCTCGACGTGCGCCAGTAATTGCCGAATACTGAGGTGGAGACTATTGGTCAAGCAAGATACACTTTTTAAATTGCTCATATAAGCCAGTGGGGCCTCCAAACTATACTACTTACTTTTACTCCTTTTGAAATGTGCATATTAAATAGGCGCTCCTTTAATACTCCTGTGGCAGGACCCCAGAGGTACAAAGAAAAACAGGACACGAAATACAAGGATCTCGTTTAAGTCAGAAACCGGATGATCACAATGAGAAATACAAAATACAGGGAAACTTACCCAAGCTTCTTAACGTTAAATTGTTTTGATGGGAACACTTTTAACTTGTAAAATATATTTATATTAATACCAGAAATATTGTCTGTATCAAATTCTTCACCCACTTTTGTTTGACACTCGTGTTGTAACAAGTGACAGTAACATTTTGGTGAATTATTGTTCCAAGTGCACTTGATTTGGACAGGAAATCACATTCTTCACTTTTGGGCCTAACCCCAGATCTACCAGTCTTTCCAAAAAGCATGTCAACACTGATTTTTTGCTTCTACCTATATATTGATCACAGCGTTTACTCTGCAGAATGTCATTGGTGGGCTCGCATAGCGCGGAGTTCTGGAGGTCCTCGGTTGGTTACGAAGAACAGTCTCATTATGCTGGCGTTGCTGTGGCGTCAGGAAGCATAGGAAGAGCTGGCTGGAACCCTTGTTTTATTTTTTCCTTTCACCCTCAGTGCCTGGTCCATATTAAATAATCAAAAAATGTTGTTGAAACGAACTAATACCAAAAAAATGATGATAAAGGAAAAGGTTAAGAAGGAAAGCACACCCAAGTCCTGATCCCACTAAACTAAACTAGAAAAGGGCATTGATCTCTCAAAGAGTCTGTCTTCTACTGGCTACATATCAGTTGCCCATACACTGCCCTCTGGCACCAGGATCTTACAAGTTAGCATACAGATAAAAGTAAAAATATGTAGTTTGAGCCCCAAGTATATATTTTATTTTTCAGTTATGGTTTACGTTCAATGTTATTTTGTATTAGTTTCAGGTGTACAGCATACTGGTTACACATTTATATAACTTATTTAGTGATGCCCCTAAAGAGTATAGTACCCCCTGACACTGTACATAGTTATTACAATATTATTGACTATATTCCCTATTCTATACTTCACATCCCATGACTGTTTTGTAACTACCAATTTGTACTTCTTAATCCCTTCACCTTTTTCACCCATCCCTTCAGCCCCCATTGCCTCTGTCAATCAGCAGTCTGTTCTCTGTGTCTATGAGTTGATTTTATATATATATGTATATATATATACACACATATATATACACACATACATATATGTATTCCATATATAAGTGAAATCATATGGCATTTGTCATTCTCTGTTTGACTTATTTCACTTAGCGTCATACCCTCTAGATTCATCCATGCTGTCCCAAAAGGTAGGTTTCATTATTTTTTATGGCCAAGTAATATTACATTGTATATACATATACTAGTTTTTTATCCACTTTTCTATTCATGCTCCCTTGGGTTGCTTTCATATCTTGGCTACTGTAAATAACACTGCAGTGAACATGGGGTGCATATATCTTTTTGAATTAGTTTTTTCAGTTTCTTCAGATAAATACCTAGAAGTGAAATTGCTGGGTCATAAGGCAGTTCCATTTTTAATTTTTTGAGGGCCCTCCATACTGTTTCCTGTAGTGGCTGCGCCAGTTTGCATTCCCACCAACAGTGCACGAGGGTTCCCTTTTCTCCACATCCTCACCAGCGCTTATTGTTTGTTGATTTACTGATAGACATTCTGACAGGTGTGAGGTGATATCTTGTGGTTGTGATTTGCATCTCTGATGATTAGTGATATTGAGCATCTTTTCATATATCTATTGGCCATTTGTATGTCCTCTTTGGAGAAGTGTCTATTCAGGTTCTATGCCCATTTTTTAAAGTGGATTGTTTGTTTTTTTGGCGTTGAGGTGTATGAGTTCTTTATAAATTTTGGATATTAGTCCCGTATTGAAAGTACCATTGGTGAATATGCTCTCCCATTCTGTAGGTTGTCTCTTCACTTTGTTGATGATTTCCCTTACCATGCAAAAACTTTTTAGTTTGATGCAGTCTCATTTGTTTATTTTTTCTTTTGTTTCCTTTGCCCTTCTGAAGATATACCAGGAAAAATATTGCTAAGAGAAATGTCTGCACTTTTATTACCTATGTTTTCTTCTAGTTTTATGGTTTTGAGTCTTAAATTTAAGTCTAAACCATTTTGAGTTTATTCTTGTATATGGTGTAAGAAGATAGTCTAATTTCATTTTTTTTTGCATATATCTACCCAATATTTTCTTTTCTTTTTTTAAAAAAAATTTTTAATATATCTTTTTGTTAATTTCAGAGAGAGGGGGAGAGAGAGAAACATCAGTGATGAGTCATTTATCGGCTGCCTTCTGCACACCCCCTACTGGGGATCAAGCCCACAACCTGGGCATGTGCCCTGACCGGGAACTGAACCTCAGTATCCTGGATCATAGGTCAATGCTCACCTGGCTACGCCCTGTCCAATATTTTCAACACTATTTATTGAATATACAGCCTTTACCCCATTATGTGTTCTTGTCTCCTTTGTCATTTATTAGTTGACCATATGGGCATGGGCTTATTTCTGGACTCTCTATTTGGTTCTGTTGATCTACATGTCTGTTTTTATGCCAGTACCATGCTGTTTGATTACTAGTATGTCCTTGTAGTACAGTTTGATATCAGGTAGCATGGTACCTCCAACTTTGTTCTTTTTCCTCAAGGTTGCTGTGGCTATACATGGTCTTTTGTGGTTCTGTTAAAAATTTTTAAATTGTTCTAGTTCTATGAAAATGCCATTGGTATTTTGATAAGGGTTGAATTGAATCTATAGATTGCTGTGGTAGTGTGGACATTTTAACAAGGTTAATTCTTCCTGTCCATGAACATGGTATATGCTCCATTTATTTGTAGCTTCTTTAATTTCTTTCTTCAGTGTCTTATAATTTTCCAAGTACAGGTCTTTTAAATACTTGGTTAAATTTATTCCTAGGTGTTTTTTATTTTATTTTTTGATGCTATTATAAATGGAATTGTTTTCTTACTTTCCCTTTCTGATAATTCATTATTGGTGTATAAAAATGCGACCAAGCCCTGGCCAGTGTGGCTCAGTTGGTTGAATTCATAAATGGATCCTGTGCAGGGAAAGGTTCAGTTCCCAGTCAGGGCACATACCCAGGTTGCAGGTTTGGTCCCTGCGTACAGGAGGCAACCGATTGATGTTTCTCTCACATAGATGTTTTTTCTCTCTCTCAAATTAATAAAAAAATATTTTAAAAATGCAACCGATTTCTGAATATTTATTTTATATCCTGCTACTTTACTGAATTCCTTTATCAGTTCTAGAAGTTTTTTGGTGGAATCCTCAGGGTTCTCTATATACAGTATCATGTCATCTACAAATAATGACAGTTTTACTTCCTCCTTTTCCAATTTGGATGCTTTTTTTCTTCTTGTCTGATCACTGTGGCTAGGACTTCAGTATTATGTTGAATAAGAGTGGTAAAAGCAGACACCCCTGTCTTGTTCTCGATCTTAAGGGAAAGGCTTTTAGTTTTTGCCAGTTAAGTATGATGTTGGCTGTGGGTTTGTCATATATGGCCTTTATTGTGTTCAGGTATGTTTTCTTTATTCCTACTTTGCTGAGAGTTGTCATAAATGGGTGCTGGTTTTTTTCAAATGCTTTTCTGCATCTATTGATATGATCATATAATGTTTATCCTTCATTTTGTTTATGCGGTGTTGATTTGTGGATATTGAACCATTCTTGCATCCCAGGAATGAGTCCCACTTGATCATGGTATATGATCTTTTTAATGCTTTGCTGAATTCAGTATGCTAATATTTTGTTTAGGATTTTTGCATCTATGTTCATCAGGGATCTTGGCTTGTAATTCTTTTTCTTTGTAGTGCCTTTATTTGGTTTTGGAATTAGGATAATGCTGGCCTCGTAAAATGAGCTTGAGAGTCTCTCCTCTTGAATTTT